TAGACTGTGTGTGTGTGCGGTCGGCCTGTGTGCGTGTGCGGCCGGCCTGTGTGCGTGTGCATGTGCGGCCGGCCTGTGTGTGCAGCAGACACTCAAGGCTTAGTAGTTCACGTCCAAAGATGAGCAAAGAACCAGACTGGAGGGTAGGAGTGGAAGGCCGTATAGCACTTTGTAGAAACTAATACTTTTAATTTAAACTCCAACACGGGAAAAGTTACTGCTGTAAGATTTAGGAGTTCAAGTTAGTATATGCGTTTCAGTTATTTGAAATACGTAAATAGAAATGAAGGTCTGAAGATGACTAATTTTTTTCTTATTTCTGAAAGTCTACAGAAAGTGGGGAATAATAGGGCTGGTTTGTTTCAAAGATGTTTAAAAGGATTGTGCTTTTTATAATAAGAATTTCGGTTTGGTTAAAGCGCCACCTGTCTCAGTTTGCCAGCCAGGACCCGGATTCCGAATGCTAAGGAGCCAGTGGGCTGGTCCAAGAGGCGTTCAGCTGCTGAACGATAAACAGCGGCAACAGTAGTTTTCCCCTAAGTGGTCTCTCATGTGTCGGGCCGTCTTGGGTAAATCAGCTGTTAGGCTTTGAGATTGGAGGCTTTTCTTTGTTTCAGAATGTGACCTGTGTACAGGGTTAATATCGGACAAAATAAAATACTAGTTAGCTTTTTGCAAGAGTCTGAATTGGCTTTTTAACCTTTCCCATCTGACCGTTCTGCTACTCTAAAATACCTCGGGGCAACAGGTAAGCTAATGTGAGTTCTAAAAGGATGGGGAAAGCATTTTGATGTTCACTTTGTGCTAATCCGGGGTAATACCATATGGTCAGCACTTTGCGGGTGCCAGGGCCCGTTGTGCTTTTGTCTCACTAAGTTTGTGTAGCACGAGATCTTTGTTCCAGTTTGGGGTGGACTTGGTGGCACGATAGGGGTTTAACTTGGAGATGGATGGGATGGCGCTGTGTCTCGGAGATAAGGCGGGCTCTCATTCGTCCATTTACAAAAACCTGACTGATCTTTTCTTGATTAAGCAGGAGAATACCGTATTTACCCTTTATTGTTGGTATAAACCATTATTTTACTGAGAACCATTAGCTATTTAAAACTTGGTACATAAATTAAAGAGGAGCTAAATGGATTTGTGATCGTTGCCATTAGTAGCATTTTAGATTATACAGGCAATTATTGTGTTCATTATCCTAGAACAGCCCCTTTGCAGAACCATTGTGGTGTCTTAGACATTATGCACAAATTTTCCCTTGGAGATTAAAATTTCCAGTAGCGTATTTAATTTTGTTATCACAGTTGTTTCAAATAAAACAAATATTATGACAAGTAGAAGAAAATTTGCTTTACTAATATAGGAAATTACAATAAATGTTGAAAATTGCTTGCTAGTGTACTTAATTTACCTTTTCTTATACAGTCATAATTACTTTGAGTGATTAATAATATATTTTATGGGTGGAAAGGTTTTACAATCATAGCAAAAGGTATTTGGCCCACTCAGGTATTTCAAGACATTTTTTTAAAGGAGGAGGAGAATCACATCAAAAGTGAAGCAGCAGGTTTCTTTATAAAACCTGTAAGTTTGTAAGTTAACTAGTTTTTATGCCAACTTCTATTTTTAAGAGTCCAGATTGCATTTAAGCGAGTTGAAGAAACTTTTTAAGCATGTTTTAGAGAAATGAGTATGCAAATATTAACTATTAACTAAAAGTGGACTTTGTTAGAATTGACAAACGAAAAAAGAATTTAGGTCGTGCTCTATACTGTAGCTCGGATGCAGTGGTTTTCCAGGAAGAAGAACCTTCCACCAGCACCACCTGAGAGACCGCAGAGCTGTATCCTACTCTGGGAACGTAAAAAGTTCAAAGTGATGAAGCTTCCCTTTGGGTCTGAGGGCTTGGGCGAGGACCTTGTCCGGCGGGCCTCAGGGCTGCGCTGCTCGCGAGTCCGGCGGGTGAGCCCAAGCGTCTCGGTCGGCAGGAAGGTGGGAATCCTTGGCGTTGTCTGCGTAGCAGTGTGCCGTGGGCTGCCTTTCCTGTTGGTCCGTATGTGGCATTTTTCCAAAGGAAACTTTGTGCTCGTTTTGGGCTGGTTTTGCCCCAGCTTTTACAGCCTTTCGCTGCCGGGATGCAGGGAGAGTGTGAGGCAGTGGTTACGCGTTTTGCAAGACAGTGATTCTTTATTTTATTACAGAAAAAAGACCAACTCTGCAAGGCCAGATTAAATCATTCCTTTCACTTTTTAATGGGATTTGGATGAATAGAGTAAAATATGCACTTTGCATTCATTGATAGCATCTTTGGGTTGAGGTAATTGAGTCTTTTTTCCCTGACTGAATGAATAATGACTTCATCTGACCCTCAGCGAGGCCTGACACTCAGGCCTCCTTTGTCACAGCAGAAGGGTCTGGGCTTTGAAACATGCTCTACTTCCTCAGCTTAATTTTTCTTCATTCTAATCCAGAAACCTATTTTTCTCAATAATTCAAGCATAAACTATGTAGGAGTTGAAGTAGCGGAAATTGCAAGGTATTTGTCCTCGTTGGGCGGCTCTTTAAATGCAGTTGGTAAATCCGTGCAGGCCCTTCCGGGGCCTGGTTCTCAAGGGAAGAGCAGGCCTTACCAGGCGGGCCTGCTGGAAGTTTCCAGAAGCCCACAAGGGCCTGGTGCGACCTGCCTGTCCTCTGGGGAGGGTGCGAGCACTGTGGGTGGAGGGCCGCGAGGTGACCCCTGGCCCAGAGGTGACCGCTTGTGCAGGGCGGAGGGCACCCGCGGCCATGCGCAGACTTGAGCATGGGTCCCGGACACAGCCTCAGTTTGGACCGCACCACAGTCCGCGGCCCTGGCACTGTCTTCCCAGGGCGGGGGCGGGGCACGGGAGGGGGCGGGACCTGTGGGGTGGAGGGCGGAGCCTGTGGGCTGGGGACGGAGGCAAGGCCTATGGCTGGATTCCCGAGGGTGCACCGGACGCAGACCCTGCGGGGTCCCGGTGGGTGAGCAGGCGAACCCAACGCTCCGGGCAAGCATCGGGTTACTTCTGTGGTTCCCGTGTTTCTAGGCTGTTCTTAAAGGCCGCAGAGTGGCGTCCGGCAGCAGCGGGACAGACAGAAGGCTGTGTGTCCTGTGATTCTGTCGCTGGTGTTCGTCTTACTCTTCCTGCGGGACTGGCTGTTTCTTGCCGCTGGAGGCTCGGTGGGCCCGTTTCTCATCCCCTTGCACCGGCAGGAAGCTCAGCAGACCTTTCTGCTTATTTAATATTTAATACATTTAATTCTGTTTATTTAATGAGCGGACTTCGTCGCAGCTACGCTCGCCCGGACGTTCTGACCACGTTGGGTGTTTTTCTGACGCGGACTGGAATGTTCTCGTGCAGGCCTGTAGCAGGTGCTAATCACAACCAGACGCAGGCTGAAGCCCGGGGCGTGGGGAGAGCTAACTTTGTTTTGGCCCAAATTGGGGATTTTCAGAAGTACGAAAAAATAAACCAAGTTGCTAATTAATTAGCTCAGTTATCCTCAAATGTTTTAGTTTGAGAATTATAGTATCATTTATTTCATCAAAGTTAGGGCAGTCGCTTTTTTTTAAATGATGGTCTTTCGTGGTTTGTGTGAGATTGGGGAGGAGCTCTGACGGTGGCGCGCGGACGTAGCTGGGAGACTCGGTCACCTGTCAGGGTCCCCTGTGTGAGGAGGAGGCAGGGTGGGCAATCATCAGGGCAGACCGTGGGTTCCCCAGGGCCGGCAGGGAGCCCACCTGGTGAGCAGGTGGGGAGCCCCAGCTCGGGGGTGAGGAGAGCGAGAGTAGCCAGGGTAAGGCCAAGGCCACAGACGTGGGAAGTGCGGACTCAGATCGCAGTGTTTCTAACTCGAGGCACGAGAACAGGAACACCCGCGTGTGGGCTTCCTGTGTGCCCGGGGCCGTCCTCGTCTTCACCCCCTGAGTGTTGTTACGGGGCGTGTCTCTAACCGCATTTCACAGATGGGAGCACGGGTGTGCAGTTGGCCCCAGTCATACCGTCAGGCGGCAGAGCCAGCACTCAGATGAGCTTACGTTTTGATTCCTGAGGAAATGTCCTTGCTGTGTGACCCCGACTCTCCCCCTGTGTGGTTCTGAAGCCTTTTTTGGAAAGCCCAAGACCCCGCGTCCACCCACTGCTCTAACACAGTGTGGTCCTCCAACCAGGCGACTCAGCGGGGGGACAGTGTGCAGACCGCCGGAGCTCGAGATCAAAGTTGTGCACCTGTGCCTTGAGGAATAAACGCTACTTACCGTTTCCCAGATCCCACACAGAATGCACCCCAAAATGAGTTCATTCCCATGGACATAGCTTCCCCTCACGTTCTGCTCAGCTAAGACGTGATCCACAGAACGAATTTGGGGTTGTGGACCTTACTGGGAGAATCTAAAGAGCAGGATGTCTGCACACTCAAGAGGTATTCACTTGAGCTGATACCTGGTCTGTTGCTCTTCTGCTGAGTCCAGAGGAGGTTTTTTTCAGAGACGCTCCTGGCGGATGGGGATGACGGACACCGTCCTGTTCCCGGGAGCCTCCGTCTGAACGTAAAACCATTACATGGGATGCACTTGAGCGCCAGTTAGCACATGCGGAGGGACAGACGCGTCCCCTCTCCGCAGACTGAGCAGGTCTGGCGTCCTTCGCGCCGCCCCCACCCCCTGTCCCAGTCTGCCCGTCTGTTGTCATGGCATTTTCATCTTCAGAAAGGATCTGGGTGCGTTTTGGTTGGGTACCGGTTGTCTCAGTACATCCGTTCTGGAAGTGCCCTGCGGATCGTGACTCCCTTTCGGACATTCCGCTTAAATCTCTAAGAGGCTTTTTAGGAGAAGAGTGGAGGTAATTCCATTTTGTGTTTTGTTGTAGATAAGGTCATACCAGAGGAAGTCTGAGGATGTCGTTCATTACTGTCATGTATCCCAGTTTGTGATGCTGCGGACATTATGGTTATGCCCTAATTCTGTGTGTCCCTTTCAGGTTGGGTTGTTGGACCTTGAACTCAACCAGCTGACCAAAGCACTGTTTGGGGCTCTAGTCGCTCTCTCGGTCGTCATGGTAACCTTACAAGGGTTTGCGGGTCCGTGGTACCGCAACCTGTTTCGGTTCCTCCTCCTCCTCTCCTACATCATCCCCATCAGGTACGTGTAAGAATTAAGGTAAAACAAAGAGCTGGTTTCACTGAGTATGACTTACGGGCATTTATTTTGTCGGAGAGCAGGAAGGCCGCACAGAGCCGCAGAGGGAGCAGCCGAGGGCGCTGGTGACGGCGACGAGGCGCGCTTCCATAGCAGATACCGTGGGGGCAAAGTCCATTTTGTTAGCGTAATCTGGAAATCTCACGCTTTTTCCTCGTGTGAGTGTTTTGATAATATATTCAAGAATTGGGAGGTGTTTCTGGATAAACCATGAACGGTTTTGTTTACCGCTGATAGACTTTGTTTCCAGTACTGTCGGACCACTGGATCCACACGTGTCACTACAGCAGATGGCGGAAGACGCCGGTGCGTCTGTCAAGTGAGATAACGTAGGAGCGAGGCGGTCTTTACAACGGACGATTCCTCAGTGATAACCCATCCCGCGCGACATCGGGGCGTAAATAATTAATTAGCGTCTGTTGCGTTTAATTGCTAACATTCGCAGTACAGAGAGATGTGAGTCCGTTCTAAAATATTTCCACAAATACGTTGTAGAAGATGCTTCATGTCTGTGACTGGACGCTTTGGCGTGAGTGAGCAGTTAGAGCCCAATAAACCCTGAGTGAAGTGGGAAGCGGGAAGCAGCATCTTCTGTGACAGAACAGAGGCAGACAGGCTAGAGCGCTCCTGCCAGGGCTGGGAACGTTCTGAAGAGAAAAGCGTCTTTACAGACCAGCTTTCTCCACAAGTTTGTCTGAAGGCGATGTCTCTCGCTTACGGACATCGCCGAAGCGGAGCTGTCGCGTGTCCCCAGGCACCATGCCCATGACAGCACCCGGCGTGCAGCCCGTGGCCAGCCTGCCTCTCCGGCCCCGCGTTCCCCCTCCACCGCCACACCACACGCTGGGCTGGGCCCTTCTTGGCCGGGGAGGGCTGCCCCTGTGCGCAGGGAGTCCCTGGCCGGCCGCTTGGTGTCCCATCAGCCTGTTTTAGTTCTGCTGCCGTCCCCACGGATCACTGCTCTTTGCTCTTGCTTGTCTGCAGTTCTGTGCTCCCCCGCTCCGTGAGGACAGGGGCCTCGTCGGGCTCAGGGCTGAGAACAGAGCACGGCATGCCCGAGGGCTCATCTCACCCTTTCTGAAGGGACCTGCTCCGGAGGTCCTGCCCTGCTCTGAGCAGCCGCGAGTGTGCACACAATCTGTCGGGCCGTCCTGCGGCATCATTGTCACCCCGTGGACACGTAGCGAGTGCCGGCAGGGGCTCTGGTGACACATCTTTGTCCCCACAGACTCACTGGGTAAGTGGAAGTGGGCAGACTGGAGCTATTGATGAGTCATCCCAGAACTGACCTTTTCGGCTGAGACTGTCCTGGTCGATATCAGCCCGAAGGCCTGGTCACGGTCCCCCCCCACACACACACAACCCGACCTGCGCTGAGCATGTCGCCTGGCGTCCTGCGGGGACGTGGATGCAGTTGTAGGCCAGATGCGTGCGTGGAGCCTGGCACAGAGTGCTTCTGCTCAGTTTCCCGCCACCCCGGCAGGGCCAGCCTGGCGCACGACACGCACCACGTTCTCAGTGCAAGGATGTGGAAAGTGTGGTCCCAAAGGAAAGTCAGTTTGCAAATGTGGTAAGTCTGTGTCGCTCGTGTTTTCACTCTTGGACAGTAAATACAGCACAGAGTTCACTGCTGGACGCGGCACACCCGTGGGCGTGTCTCCCACACGGAGCATGGAGCCTTCCTTCCCTTACTCTCAACACCTCGCAACCATTTCTGCACATTTTATCTGCTGATTTGGCTTGACTTTGTTGCTCCCTAGATCAAGGGCCTTGATGTCATTCCTGTGTTGATTGAGTGTCACAGCTCTCCCCCGGAGCCTCCGGACTCGAGTGCGGGGCCTACAAGGACTCCTTCTGCAGTTCCCCACAGGAAAGTAGGCCACATGCCTAGCACCCCACACACAGCCCACTAGGCACCAGCAGCACTTCGTGCTGGAAGGTGTGAGCTCAGGGGGCCCCCGTGTGGTGTCAACCAACCCCCCTGCCCAGTGTGAACCAGCCCCCGTGCCGGGTGTGAACCAACCCCCTGCCTGGTGTGAACCAACCCCCTGCCCGGCGTGAACACTCCTGCCTAACAGGAACCGCACTGTGCCATGTGGACCCCACTGCCCATGGGAGCCCCCCTTGCCCGGCCGTGTCCATAGTGACTGGCACTACACGTGTTAACTTGTTGGCACACTCCTCTGCTCTCCTCCTGCGAGTGCCAACAAAAGTCTGCTAGTCCCAGTTCCATCGAGCAAACACCTGTTTTCTTAGTAATTTGTTTTGGTTTGGTTTAGTTTGGGGTTTTTGCTCTCATTATCTTGTTTATCTTCATTTCTTTGCTTTTGCCTGTTCTAACATGATTTTATGATGTGCCTTTCGAGACTGTCATACAACGCAAAAGGCCTAGTGGGGGCGCTGTTCCTTTTCTCCAGGGCACTTCTGTATTTAACTGGTGGAAACCATTGAAAACCACTGAAATTTTATTGTATTTTTCAATGAAATATTTTATTCTTACAGACTCTCCAATTTCTTCAGCACGACAGTATAAAAAGACTTGACACTTTTCCTTTTATCAAATTAACAAGAAAAATGAATCACGGTTATGAGATATAATACATTATAAGGATTTTTAAAGATTTTTTTTTTAATAATTTGACAGAGAGAGATCACAGCAGGCAGAGAGGCAGGCAGAGAGAGGGGAGGAAGCAGGTTCCCTGCTGAGCAGAGAGCCCAATGTGGGGCTCGATCCCAGGACCCTGAGATCATGACCTGAGCAGAAGGCAGAGGCTTAACCCACTGAGACACCCAGGTGCCCCCATTATAACCAATTTTAAGCCGATACCGATTTTCATTTTTTTTAAAATTTCAGTTGTATATAAATATTTGTAGTAAAAAATTAGATAACACCTAATAACAAGGGAAAGAAATATATATTTTATGCAATTTTACTGTTGGTAAAGACTATAAGGCTTTTCAGAAATGTGTACATATACAGACTTGTAAATATTAATGTGCATATTTATGTATATGTAAATATACCAATATTTACACATAGACCTTTTTTATTTAGCCTGTACAGACGTCTTAAAAGTTTGTTTACAAAATGAGGAACATACTGTTTCTGCAGTTCTGTCTTGTTCTGGTTTTCCAGTCAACGGTTTTATATTTACGTGTTCAGTCAAGTATGGAGAGACTTACTAGACAGAATTGTACCTACACCTCTGTCTAGCTCCAGAATGTCTCATGCCTGCTTCAGCATGAGACCTTGCATCATTTTCACAGTTTGAGGACACAAGCAGACAAATTCAGCAGAAGAAATGAAAACTGTAGAATTCGTGTTTACATGCAGTTCAACCAAGTTTGTTTTCCTTTTGCAAAGTTTCCTTAAAATATGAATAATAATACATTCTAGTATTTGGTAAATATGCTTTTCAGTTTAATAAAGGATAGATTTTAAAAATTTCCTTTTTTTGCAAAGTACACAATTTTGGAAGGTTAAGTGCTTTTTCTTCCAGTGACCTAACACGTGTGTTTTGTTTTTTTTTTAAGATTTTTTATTTATTTATTTGACAGACAGAGATCACAAGCAGGCAGAGAGGCAGGCAGAGAGAGAGGGAGGAAGCAGGCTCCCCGCTGAGCAGAGAGCCCGATGCGGGACTCGATCCCAGAACCCTGAGATCATGACCTGAGCTGAAGGCAGAGGCTTTAATCCACTGAGCCACCCAGGCGCCCCATAACACATGTTTTTAATGGAAATACAGTTGATACACAGTATTACACTAGTTTCCGGTGTCCAGTGTAGCAATTGGACAGCTGCGCACCTTACCGAACGCTCCCTGCTGTAAGTCGGTGACCGTACGGTCGCTGTTACTATTACCGACTAGGCTCCCCGTGCTCTACGTTTCATCCCGTGACTCCCTTATTTTTTAACTGGAGGCTTGTACTGGTTAATCCCCTTCATGCCTCACCCGGCCCCGCCCCCTCTCCTGTGGTAACCGCCATTTGTTCTCTGTGTCGGGGAGTCTGTTTCTGGTTGGTTGGTTGGTTCCATTGGTTGATAAAAACGCTTTTCAAATTTAACAAACTGAGGCTGTTTCATGGAAATTTTTCTTGACAAAATAGTTTTGAGTCACCTGATAGTTTACTTTGTCTTTTAAGGAAAATATGACAGGGTTTAAGTCATGTAATGGAAATGGATACATGTTCCCTGCATTGTTTGTGTCGCTCATGACAAAACCCGCACTACCACAGTTCTTCGGGGCACAATTAGACCCCGTCAGGGTGCTGTGTGTTGGCCCAGCAGCTCTTCTCCCCACACGCTTTCAAGTGCGGTGTCACGTTCTAGCCGATGCTTCAGAAAACTGTCCTGTCAGTGCCGGGTCAGGGGGCCTCCTAGCCTCACGGGGCCATGCGTGGGTGATGGCAGTAGAAATGTGCTGGCGGTGAGGACTCTGTCCCTTCTGAGAAACATGTGGGCCCATCTTGTCTAAAGTCGTGCAGTTGGTGGGGGTCCCATTCTGCCACTCAGCTGCCGGAAGGACTGAGCACCCAGAGCTCGGAGCATTGCGCAGTAAGAACGGAGTACTGAGAATGTCAGGTAATGTGGGTATAGAATTTGCTTCAGAACCTAGAAGTCGACTCTCTTAACGTTCCAGTAGGGATTCCTTCTCCATTTCGCATGCTTGGGGAATGCCTGGGGAAGAGAGTGTCTCCGACCTAGGAAACCAGTCAGTGGCAGCAGAAATTTGCAGCCTATCCAGACTGCAAAAGATACGCGTATTCGGAAATGCACGGTTTGGAAAGCATGCACAGGAAGGAGGGCCAAGGGTGTGGCTGGACAGCTTTTTGCTGAAGAGGTTATGATTGTGACTCATGGACTCACCTATCTCGGCCAGAGCCTGGAGCGGATGGGGTTATCCGAGGGAAATCTGTGTGGGAGCCTTTTGTCAGGGGTCATG